TCTCCTTCCCCTATTGTCGTTATCCAAAATAATAGGTAGGAAACATTTTGATAAATTTAATTAACATCTGCTCATATGTGAAGGAACCATTATATACAAACACAAAAAATATATGATTAGATTATATGCAGCCATTACCTTTCTTTTAAATGGCTCTCGAAGCCGAAAATAAGTGGACACAATTAATCCTGACGCCGCTTTGTCTATCAAGGGAAATAATAGTTGGGGTGGTTTGTCGTTGCCGGATGTAGTTTATCATTCGATATATCAAAGTCAGTAAAAAAAGTTAATGTAATGTCGTGACATCGGGATGTGAGCCACGAATCCTAGAATCCACAGTCGGATACACACCCTGTTTAGCTGTATATACTGGGCATAATACATATTCTTTAATTATATTCACCCACTACATACACGAATAAAAGTACAAAAATGTACATTATATGCATATACGAAGAGATGTCGAGTTACTACGACTGAAAAGTTTTCTAGCATCATGTTATATGCATGAGATGAATAGTTATCCTCGGTAAAATACAGGTTATTCATTTAATAAATTAGAAAATAAAATTTCACCAAAGACATGTCGAAGAATAAATCATATTTGACGTAATTCTCTAAAAAAGTCTCTTTACAAGGCAAATTTTATTTCCAATTGAATGCCGATTTTATGAAATCTGCCGTGGAGTTTTTAGAGAACGTATAACAGACTACACTGTCCTGAGACATGATTTTAATTATGTTTATTTTCATGCTTCTTTTAAATATAGCCACTTTAACCGTAGTTGAAGCACTATTACTCTGACAATGGCTTCCTTATTGTATAACTTCTGTTCTGGATACAATTTAGGGCGAATGTTCACCAGATGAAGTGTTTACTACGCGCGTTTTTATGTCATTAATTTGAAAATGTTACAAGACATAATAGGTGTGTTTACATATTAAATAATTATGTCTCTATAATGATAACAGAATTTTCTTTTCTGATGTTACGTTTCATAAACAGCACTTCCAAAGGAAATAAAAACATCTGAACGTTAACTATCTTATTATTATTTGTATGACACATAATAACGTGTTAGATAACAAGTGTACAAATCGTATATTATAAATTAAAACCAAAGGGTACCCAGGAAAGTTTAATGGTAAGTTTACAGACAACGTTAGCTACCTTATTATTATTTGTATGACACATAATAACATGTTAGATAACAAGTGTACAAATCGTATATTATAAATTAAAACCAAAGGTTACCCAGGAAGGTTTAATGGTAAGTTTACAGACAACGTTAACTACCTAAATTATTATTTGTATGACACATAATAACATGTTAGATAACAAGTGTACAAATCGTATATTATAAATTAAAACCAAAGGTTACCCAGGAAGGTTTAATGGTAAGTTTACAGACAACGTTAACTACCTTATTATTATTTGTATGACACATAATAACATGTTAGATAACAAGTGTACAAATCGTATATTATAAATTAAAACCAAAGGGTACCCAGGAAGGTTTAATGGTATGTTTACAGACTTATTGTTCTAACAATTTGGGATTCAATTCCCCTCAGTGAACAGAGGGTAGATAGCCAATTTTTGCAGTTTGGGGCTAAAATAAAAACAACAACATAAACTTAAAGATCATACCGCACTTTGTTGGCTAATATTTAATTTATTTAAAGAACAGGACAGCACTAAATAGTGTAATTTACTGAAATAATCAAATTAACAACGTATATCAAATAAACGTACGGGTTAGTTAGTCAAGGAAAGCATTTTATTGATAATTGGAGAATAAGGAAAATGGAAATTATTTCCATCATGGACATATTACATTGTAAGCCTTTAATTACAGGATTATATTGGGTTTAATTTCTACCTAAAATCAGTTAGATTAATTTTGTTTTTCTTTTCTTCTTTTGTCGTTTAATAAATATACTGAGTTGCTCATTTATAAGTTAACTAGTTGAATGTGTCGAAATTCGACAAACTACGTAGATTTGTGATATTTCACTCAATTTGTATTCTTATCTAACCACACAAAATCGACTATTGACCGCTAAGATATGCTCTTTTTAAGAGCTATTTTAGAAACAAAACTAAAAACCATCTTCAGCAATGTTGATATTGTGAGTACTGACGTCACCTTCAAATGTTTTAATTAATCATCCCTTCGGGTGATATAAAGTCGTTCTGCTCTTGTTAAGTGCAGAAATCTCATTTAAAAGTTTGAATTAAACATCCCTCTTTCTGCACTTGACAACAGCAGAACGACTTTATATCACCCCTCATTTAAAAGTTTGAATTAAACATCCCTCTTTCTGCACTTGATAACAGCAGAACGACTTTATATCACCCCTCATTTAAAAGTTTGAATTAATCCTCCATGTTTTCCTACTTGTTAAAAGAATTCTCAAAGCTCAACCAAATAATGAAATTGTAAACAAAATTATAGAAAATAATACAGCAAACCTATTCGAAACTGAAATAAAAACAAAACATGTACAAAACATGTATAAAAATGTAATATTTCCATCATTATAGGATGATGTAAACAATACTCTGAAAATTGGCTTTTAACATCATTTTGATGCTACAACATTACTTAAAAATTATAATATAAAGTTCTGCGGTAGAAAAAGTTTTCTTGTTAAATCTTAACAACACTTACGCGTGCATTTATAAGAATCGTTATTAGGTGGCTTTACGTATAATTGTTTTCTGCGTACTTCTTTTTTTCTCCTTCTTCTTTATATTCATACGCAATGGACACATAAACATCTGTTTTCTAAAATGACATTATTCTGCTAGTAGAACGTGTCGCAATTCGATAAAATGTGGTATTTTAACCCACGATCTAAAACTAAGGACTATCGAATTCATATTGGAAAAGTTGTTTATAAAACTTCTTCGTAAACAACATTTTCAATATTTGCAGCTTCAGGAACATAAATTTTAACCAATCATACAACTATATCCTAGATAGAGCTATGTAGAGCTGATCGTGAGAGAAAAAAATTGGTTCAGCTATTTGCAACCCCGACGGACGGACATCTCTTTTCCCAAATTATATTATTGTATGTATACGACATTGAAAGCGGAGTTCGAAAACATGGGCCCTATACGTGCTTTGCAAAGGCACGGCAAGGACTTACCTTAATTAAACTTAACTCTATAAGATAAGGAATCGCTACAATATAGTTTCCTTAAGAAATATTGTGATAAATCATGAACCCAATAGACTTACTACATTTTCGGAATATGTGTAATGCTGAAGGAGGATAACTGTTTTTTGTGTTTAACAACAAACAAACAAGACATGATTTCTTACGGTCTATAATCCCTTTGAAAGCCTCATGTTAATGCCTTTCTCTGTAACTTCACTGCCTAACATTTTGACTTTCTGCTTTATGGAAGCATCAGTTATTAGTAAACGAAAAAATAAAAGGTCATAAGTGGTAATGTATTCAAATGGAAGCAGGCCGCCACCATACAGAATTCATGCCCTTAGTGAGATTGAAAACCATTCTGAATAAAACAATACATCAACTTTAGGAATATTCAAGGGATGAAACGAATCACAACTGAAACAGAGATAATGGACGCTAAGAGAAAGTATTGAGGACAGGCTTCCAAAGAGGCGACCCTACAGGAGTAGGCTACTACCAAATCTATAAAGCAGGAAGAATTTACATGATATGTTAGGTGGGTTTTGTGTTTATCCTGAGCACTGTGATAGGGGAGTCATTATCTATACGTCATTTCTTTGTAAAAGTGGTTATATGTACCTTAGCTCAAGTAACTTTGTTAAAACTAGCGAAAAGCGCACAGACTTGAACATAGACCATTAAACATTGGAATATAGCGAAGGTGGATTTGTTCGTCTTAATTTGTTTAGTTTCTTAAAGCCCGTATTCTTGGTTGACAACTGAAACTGGATGTAAAGATTCACATTGCTAGTGATAGATATTTACGTTAAGTATTGTTGTTTTCCATTAGTTTCTTATAGCCCGTATTCTTGGTTGAAAACTGAAATTGGATGTAAATGTCCACATTGCTAGTGTATTGTTGTTTTCTATTAGTTTTAAAGATCGTGGATTATAATGGCTGTACACCAGTTGTAGACTCCTTCAGGTTAGAAACCTCAAAAATTTGTAATTATATTGGAGTTAAGAGCAACAATGGTTAGTTGAGTAATTCCTTTCCCAATCTCAGTTCTCGTATTTCAAATGAATAAAAAATATGAGTTCACCACAACCTCACCATTTTCTATAAATTTTGCAAATAAAAGTAAAATCATGCCTTTTGCAGCTATTGTGATCCTCGAATATGAGAAACATTTTCTTATAAGGATGCTTGTTATATCAGTAGTATTATCAGAAAAAGAATCACTAAAACCAGGATATTTCATTTTACAGCAAAAACAATCAAGAAATATTGATAGTTCATCTTTTTCGTAACAAGCTTTTTTAAAAGTATGTAAATATAGAAAATTTGCTTCATTGAAGCAAACTCTAAATATCAACAACTGATTTATCCGATACAAAAAAGCAATACAAATATAGATTCATTGTCACTGAATCAATGAACCAAACTTACTAAAATATAATTTGCTGTTTTCGCTTAAATTAAAACTGTCAAGCAAGAACTAAAAAATCTATCTCATTCTCGATTAAATAATTGTATGTGTGCTAAATATTAAAAGCTTGATTTAACAAATTCATTAGGATATTGTGTTTCTGAATCATAAGTTAACTATGTTATAATTTATTTTGAAGAGGATATTAAGAAGAATCTGAAAACATTTGTTTTTAAGATAATACCATACACTGTTTAACATGAATTACGTAATTCTATAAAATGAACTTTAACAATGCTTATATCCAAGTATAAAATACACTAATTCCTTGCGAAGATACATAACAATTGACATTTGTGAAAACATTGTAATGTATAGGATTTTAAACGACTTAGATAATGTTTTTTTATGTTTCAGATATCCAATGAAGTTCAACAACTGGATCAGTTACGAGGACAACATGGTGGGTAGAAACTCAAAGTCATATAATAACGCATAAATTAAAAAAAAAATACAACTAGAAGTACAACAATACAACAACTTATGATGAAATGAGTATGTTAATTATAAACATAAAGAAGTATACATCACATGAAAAAAAAAAGCAGTAACAAGTATACAAGTGAGAATTCTAAAGCCATGCTTACTATAAATGCCTGTAAACTATAGATTTTGTGTGTGTTTAAGACGAAAAATAAACCTAAAAATGTTAATGAATTAAGCAAACGAACATTTAATTCATCCTCAGAACCTTATCAATGGTGTAGAAGAACTCTGCAAAATAGATAAATAGCCTATCAGCAGACTCCTACGTAGAAGGTATAATGTGCAAAACACAATAGATGAGAAAATTTGAAATCCCTCGTAATGCATAACACTCATAACTATGTTAATTCTGATTTTAAAAAATACCTAATCAACAAAAAGTAATCACGGACAATACCAATAGGTAGTTATGTTTTTTTATTATAATTTTTTTTAATCTAATAAATTTCCTTTAGTAATACCGACATAAGAAACACGAAATATAGTTTGAGCGAATAACAACCGCGTTGTTCTATTTGTGACTGGTTAAACATTTGCATTTTAAATCTCCAGAAAAAACCGCTTTACGCACAACTTCCGTTTATACGTTGTAAACGTAGTGATTAGTGTGAAGATTATGGCTTAGGGAAGAACATTTTCATTTAAATTTAATGAAATGGGAATTCGCCAGATATTAAACCATTTTGTATTATCAAATTAAAATAAGAACTGTATGTTTCTGTCAAAAACAGACAAGCACTAGACTGTAAGACGTAAATGTCCTTTAAAACAATAAAAACTTGTTGGAGTTTGAACCATTGTTCTGCATCTCAGAAATCTGCTATAAATTAACCTTTGTAAATTTTATAAAATTTACTGTATCATTAAATAAAAAACCACAGAATATCTATTTGACTTAACATTACTCATAATGTAACACAAACTCCATCTTACCATCTTTCTTGCAGCCTTTCATCAGCTCTAATAATTCTTCCATTAAATAATTAAAATTTGAATATGTGTTGCTTTTCGATTCGTGAAATTGTGACCATTTTAATAATTATGCTAAGTAATTGAACCAATATATTAACTTGGCTATAACAATAGGATTTTTATCAGTATTTTTTTATCTGTTCTATATTTATGAGTGAGAGTATTAAACAACAACAAATGAATGGTTACAGATATGAGGGCAAATCAGTGACAGTTGTCATAACATGACATGATTTTTTTCTAGAAAATGACAGTGTAATATTTATTCGTACAGAACAGAAGCCTCAAAGCTTGGACATATCAATTACCAATTAACCAGCTTAAAGCGAGGACATCATGCTTAACATAAGAAAACAACGATTTGCAAAGTCAAAAAACGATGTTACATTTTTGAATGAAATAAAAATCTAAAGCTGAAATATTTGAAACGAGTAGAGAGTAGTAGCTTTGAATTACTGACCTACAATCTCATTGAAGAGAGTTTTGTTATCGTTGTTTGATGCCTGTAATATACCCGAATCCTGATCTTAAAACCCCAGACTGAAGCTCATAGCATGAACTACAAGCACTGTTTATTGAATATGTTTCTGATGTAGTAGATTTAGAATATGGAAAGTTGTGTTAGGAAAAATAAATAAAGATTAGTTTAAAAAATAACTCATTAATACAGCTGAAAAATATAAGCTTGATATTATTTTTGGATATAAAGTTAAACGGATTAATGTCATAATTCCTTGTGAAACAACTTGTATTATCTTAAAATCGAGCTGGATTTGCATGGATTCAGTATATGCATAACCTACAAAAATAATACCTAATTTTCCTGCTTAGTACACTGAGTGTAGAATGTTAACTCCAAAAATCAATCCAAGCTCTAAATACACGTATACATAACTTTAAAACAGTGGCATCATATAAATAAATTCATATAAATTAATTTGACAGCCCGTATAAACTAGGTTGTTCATGTAACGTGCAATTATTCGCAAAAGAACTAGATTTTGAAGCAATTTATCAAGTGGTAAGATGTTCTTTTCTCACTTTTGTTTCGTGATCTTCAGGTACAAGTGTACACTTCATCAGATTTATTAGATAGATAATGGAGATCGAGAAATAAAACAAATTAGTAATAAATCTTATTTAATAAAACTAGAAAACTTTGAACTTGTTTATTTCATTCGTTATATCAGTTATAAGTTGCTTAATACAAACACTTCCAGTGCTCATTCATTATCATTTTCAGAAACCTGAAAGAACTGAGTTGCTTACAAGACTGGTGTTTAAATTATTCGAATCATTATCACAGTAATTTAATTTAAAGAAAATATATAGCCCTATCTCATTCAAAAAATGTAATTGATTGATTTACATTAATTAATTTGCAACTTATCAATCCCCCCCCCAAAAAAAAAACATTTTTGATCATACATTAACTCAAAGGAGTCTGATTGACACTCATTTTTCTTCTAATATTTATATCTATAATAAATAGCCTAGTAGAATAGACGCTCATCTGGCGGCGGAAGTATCAGTATAAATGAGATACATATTAGGTCAATACTCTCTGCACGTTCATGTTTGTTTACTTCTGGCTCCAGACAAACGTCTAATTCAAGGTCAATGGGTACATACTATAGTTACTGTCGAATTGAGTGAAGGTCATATTTGTTTACTTCCACCTCTAGATGAGCATCTATACTACTTAGGCTGCTGATATCGAATGCCTTGCATGAGGATATATACATATTCAGATAGTCATTTTGAACATAATAAAAACGACATATCATTTGAACGGGGAGTAAATACCTGCAACTGTGGCAACAAATCATCAAAACGAACTTTAGAATAAGTTTGTTTTTAAATAGACGCCTTAAATAATCACTCTTATTTCTTTGAATTAATATGAGAGTAAAAGGAATGAGTACATGTTTGTAGACCAGTCTCTGATATGTTTATACATAAAGGGAATAAATGGATAGTTAAATGTAATGATAAAATATGTATGTTAGGCCACAACTTTATTGTTCTGTGTTTTCACTAGTTATGAGTATAACTTCTAAGAACATGGTTTCAAAACATGCCTATACATTAAATGTGTTTTGTGTTTACATAGTGCTTACTGATGAAAATAACCAAAAATTAAACTATTCTCTGATCTTATAAAATGTGATGACATGAAGTAATTATAGCGCCTTATTTTAACACCTGCATCACGAACCAGTCCAGCATCTTTTAGAACTGATCCTAGGATGATCTACAGATGTTCATATAAATGGAGCTAGGCACAACTGCTAAAACACACAAAAAAGAAACTAAATATTACTGAAAATATGACATGATGAAATCTATATGGATTATATTATAGTGGCATGATACTGGGCATTATACCATCCTTTT